CTTTGAGCCGATGACACATCCCGCCCAGCATTATTTATCCCGCTGAATTATTTATCAACAAAATATAACGTTTAACAAAAGGTGTTGAACGCCTTCAATGATGCAGCGTTTTGCATCGCTTGCACGAGCGAAGCGTTTGCCCCTTAACCGGTTTTATCCGAGAGCTTCTGAGTGAGGCCTGACGGCCCGAAAGCGGACGCCGCCGCGGGCAACAAAACACGATCGCTATCGCTTCGCCCATTGTTGAGGCGTGTGGCGTCACGTGGATGGCGTCTTTCTCGTAGGAACAAAAGGCGAACCTCATTTCGCGCCGAGAGGCCCGCCAGCCGACCATGTTTCGTTCCCTGCTGAACCACACAGCGCTCTCGGCGCCGCCGATAACGTGAGATGTGAGAAAGCTATTCGGAGGAAAAAACAATGGAGAGCTCTTTTTGCAGAGATCTTTCTGTGATCAGCAAGCCAACAGAAATTGTGTTCTGAAATGATTTCACTGTGGTTAGAACTAAATTGTGTCTCCAACCTTTTAATTTTTTAAATCTGTTGTACCCGGATGGTGGTTATAATGATCGTGCGTATTCCGACTGCTGTCCGCGATACATTTTTCCTAAGCCATTTATCTGCTTTCCCAAAAAGGCACACCCCGACTGCATCTCGCTCCGTTTTCTCCTTAGTATAAACCGGTAAAGGTAGCTCAGGGAATCAACTGATGTCAGTGCAGTGCATCTAACCGGGCGATCCTTGAGTTCGAGTCCAGATGGTGGTAGGCTTTCGGCACTAATTAGACTGGTTAGGTTGACAACACCAGCTTTCAGACGCTAATTGGTGGAGAATTTTAGCGGTCGGCTGCTCTGATCGGTAGTTTTCCGTGATTTCTCCAATCAACACTAGGCGAATGTCGGAGCAATACCTTCAAAACGGGCCACGTACCGCGAGCGATCTTTCCTTCCCCTTCCTTGACGTATCCCCATCCCTTACTTACTCACACTTACTCTCACACACTCACTATACTATTACACTTCTCAAGAGTCTAATCGTTCGAGCTTAGACCTTGTCCCGGTTGGGGCGGTGACTCGCTGATGGGAGATGCCTAGTTGAGGAAAATACCCGGAAGCCGACGTAGGTCGGCGCTGGATCTCGCCAGCCAATAGGGGAAGATCACCGCCAATCCCGCTATGAAAACATGCACTAAACTTACGGGACTAGTGTCCTTAACAGTTGATGCGCCCGGAATCACTAATCAATCCTTAATATAAGGATTGATTTCTATTTTACCGTGATCTGCTTAGTTTCATACTGGTCGATTATAATTGATCCATTTCTGTCTCTGTTCATGAAACATTTGCGTGACCTTTTAGACACTGTCAACGTTGAAAACCACCGCTTACAAGTTTGTGGAATACAAAAGAAACATAAGTTGTTGTTTTTTTTCACGACTGTTGCGTTACTTGTAAATGCAAACTTAACAAAAACTTTTACTCCTTTCAAAACACCGGATGAACGAAACGGGATGCATTCTGCTATGCCTTCTCAGGTGACGAAAAGCGAAAAGGAATTAGAAATTAGTTGAGAGGAGGATGAGGGTAAGAGAAAACTGACTACGGGATGCAGTCTGGCGATTCTCATAATGGTTACACCTGTACATAGCTACATCGCGCATGTTATCCCATGGAAGTTTCGTTGAGGAAAACACTTTCCATGTACGTTTTTCGTTTAAGAAAGAACAATAAATGTATATATCAGACACGTTCGTCCACCTTTTGATGGGTATTCGGTGCTACTAAACATGTGCTATTAAGTAGTTAGTATGTTGTAGAAATGTAGTATGTAGAAATTGATTGCCAGGAAATACAAGACTTCTTGGGAGCGGGATCTGAACTAGTAACCTTCTGTTATTCTGTTCTGACAGTTTCTTTGGAATCACGCAGTTGTATCGGTTAGTTAGTGCATATATTGTTTGATATATGTCTTTCAAAGTATTAGACTAATTAAGTAGATAAACAAACTGGGCTAGTTAAAATGTATGATTATACAACGTGCCGAGTAAATAATAAAAAGGTAAATGCTGGGTATTGTGAAGCACAATCTGTAAAATCCCTTGAAATGAAGATACAATACACATTTAAATACGAGTATAAAACATGTAGTAAGAACTTCTTGAGAAACCATAACTTCGTCGTGTCGTTGAGACTTTTCAGGGAGCGTAACAGACAAAGGATTCGGTATTGTTCCAAGACGTCTCCGGAAACGGGAATTGCGAAATTGGTAGTATTGCACGATATCCATAATCAACTTTCCGGGCAACGGTTGCGAACAAGACGTCCGTCACGCAATGTTGTGCCACCGGCGCCGCTACGCAAATCTCAGCCTATCTCCGGCTGTGGATGGTTCCCACGATATCCTTGCACTTCCTATCATTATGTCTCAGGCAGCTGTCAACAATTCAAATTGCAGTGCTTGCAAGTGTGTCCACTTAAGTACAATGGCAGTTTACAGCTGCAGCTCCGGCGCACAACACATTTCACTCGAACTAATTATTCATGCAATTATGTCAGGCACCGAATAATATAATCGTATTCGTTATAAAGGAGTAAAAGAAATAAATTGACATCTCAAATGGTCTTAATAAGGACAAGTATTCTATCCGTTCAAAGATGAAACGGTTGCGATTAATGATATGTGGAAATGTAGATCTGATGGTCATCTACGGACTGGAGATAACACACTTGCTCGGAAGCAGGGTTTTTTTGATTTTATTAGATGTATATAATTCAGATATGAGAGTTAAATCACCATAGTAATCACATATATTTCTAAACTTTCTAATCCGAACATACTAGTAAATTATTTAATTGTATGATTTATAATTTAATTGTATTGTAGAAAAATACTTAATATTAAATATTAAAAGTCATAATTTACCACAATTATTTTTCTTAACTCCTGTATTAATTTGAACCTTTAATTTATTAAATAAGAAAAAAATTAAACAAATGCAATATGAATGCTTATATAATGAGAATTCGATGAAAACATACTTTTTCGCTTTATATTGCCCTCTTCAATGTGCACCACGTGCGATAGTTCAATGGCAACACCGTTGCCTCATCACATCGACCAGATGATCCTTGCATTCGAGCTCAATGGTGGCAAATTTTGAACACTAGCTAGTAGCTACCAAGATGGATTGGATTCCATCCCTGTCAGACAGATAATTTTTGCGTCCGACTGCTATGATGGGTAGTTTTCCGTGTTTTTGTTTTTTGTGTTAATATCAGAGTACTCTCAATACCTTCTCAAAAGGTAACAGACCGCTCGCACCCTCGCGCAATCCTCTCGTTTGACACATTCTCATTCTTATTTGTACTACGCTACCACATGTCGGGAGACCCGTCGGAAGCTGGGAGGAGTGATCCGCTGGTGGGAGATACCTGTAGAGGGGAAAACCAACGTCCCACCGTGTATGTCGGCGTCGGATATCATATTTCTGTGGAAGGGGAACACCGCCACCCATAAGGATGAAACCTTCCCTACTCATATTTCACTAATGACCTTATTAGTTGACGCACCGGGAAACAATAAATTCCCCCGCACTTCAAATGGTTCTTCTCCTGGGGGCCTCTCCCTTGCGAATATTGTGACGTCGTGATATAAGCTAAACACAGACACAGAGTTTTTAGGCAGATTTATTTACATTATTAACTATGCAATACTTACACTCCCCTGAAAACTACCGTGCACTTCACAACAGCAAATCCCTGAGGCAAGCCGCACCAGTATGACACAGCCCCAGTGCGTTAGATCTTAGCGCCGCCCTGGCCTCTCGACCCCTCCCGAATAACCACCGTCGCAACCCCCCGCTTACGATAATCCCTTTACGAGTCTCACAAATCGAATGCCGGCCGTTCCTTCGCTTGCCTCTTCTGCGAGGAATTGCGTGACCGACCTCCCACGCAGTCGTCCGGCGGACGGCGTCACCTCATTGCCGAGTTTTGGGCCCGGTTGCAAATGGGGGGCGCCGCCACGAGCTGTTGTCACTCACCATCCCCCTAGCTAGCTGACCCTCGCGTTCCAAGAACACGCCCCAGGCGGGCGGCCCCCTTCCAAGCGAATGTTCCGGTCGCCCCGCCTGGAGTAAAGGCCCATTCACAATGTAAACGTAAACATAAGCATGGCGTTAACATAAAAGTTAGGACTACGTCCACATGCGGCCTCATTCGCAATGCATTTGCATTAGCATAACACGTAAGACGTTAACTTAAAAGCTTACAAACTTTAAGCTTCTGTGCTTATGCTTAAGTAAGACATAAGAAATGAACGCAGAACGGTGACTCAAAATTGAGAACCAAAATTGGAGCGACGTCGATAGAAGAACTAACGCCATATGCGCCATGGACACAGTCGATACCTCGAAATCGATTCTCACATCCAACCAATAGTAAACTGGAGTGTCTCACAGGTACTAGAAACTCTTATTTTGCTTACCTTTTAGTTAGACATTGTGAATACTTCAGTATATCACTTACCTTAATGTTTACGACTATGATGTATGCTTATGCCTACGTTTGCATTGTGAATGCTTAGGAGGGGTGGCTGTTCGTCAGGGGATGAGAGGCCAGGGGTGGCGCTAAGATTTAGCACCCTGGGGCTGTGTGTGACTGGGGCGGCCTACCTCAGGGATTCGCAGTGCTTTGGAGTACACTTCACCCTTCCTGTGAGAGCGTAGGCCTCCGCGGCCGGAGTCAGTATTTACTAGGCTGTCCGGGTGACGCCGCGTCCATGGCGAATGTGCCGACGTTTCGGTCGCCATTCCGCGACCTTCCAATAGTAAATCAGGAAGGAAGGTCGCACGCAGAATGGCGACCGACATGTCGGCACCTTCGCCATGGACGCGGCGTCACCCGGACAGCCTAGTGAATCTTCACCCTTCCTCTTGGGCGGGCGTGCGCCTTTGGCAAACGCCCCGCGGCGGGCAGCTCACGTGGGGCGTCGTCGCGCCGCAGGTGGTGGTGGAGCACGACGACAAGGAGCCGCTGCCGGCGGCGCGGCTCGAGGCGGCGTCGCTGCGCGTGCACGCGTCCGCGCGCCTCAGCGACCGCGGAGTGGTGGTGCTGCCCGACGCCGTCGTGCGGCCCTCCGCGCGCCACCGCAGGTCAGTGCCTCCCCCCCCCCTAGCATTGAATTGAATTGAATTTATGCCTTATTTTACCTGGCGAGACTGGCACGTATAGCACGTGGGGTTGGGAGGAAATCGAGCGGTTTGATTAGCACTATTCCATTTCAAAATAAAACTATTTGTTGCAAATACAACACCATACGAATGAAATATAGTATGTGGGAAATATAGCACACTTGGACAGTTGACAACTACTCTCTAAATATAGTCTCATACGTTTTTCAGGTATAGACAAAAAACAAGTACATTTTTTGGGACGTATTTTTTTTTTATTTTAACGAAGAATAATGTTTAGGCAGTAGAATGTTTTACTAGTAAACTTCTCTCTAATTCCCAAGGCAGCCAGATTACAAAATAAATCATTTCTCTTTTGTCCGCTATATAAACGACTTTGCCCTGAAAAAAAAAGTTCTAAAGGAAAAAGATAATTTTTTAGATGTGCCACTTTTCTTGTGTGGTGACTATACATGTATAAGATTGGATTTTAACTTAGTTCGTATCTTCGTTTTCTCATTTAAACACTCTTAGGGCATGTTTTTCTGGGCAAAGTCTGATAATCACAAATCATTGCAAATACCTGCGAAATGATCGGACTCCTCGTTTGATACCGATTCTAACAATGACCTGAAGGCAAATGATACTGCTCGTGGGACAATGTGAGGGGCAAAGTCAGTGCCTTGTAAAATTGAAACGAGAAGCTTTTGAGATACTTGGGAAGACTGTTGTTGCAAAAAAATGCTGTCCGTAACGTGTGTTAAAAACCCTCAATTGACACATGGAAACGTGGTTTCTTTAGTCAAATTAAATGAGATAAATGAAAATGTTTAGTTTGACCATAAATTTGTGTATAACGTAGAGGTAAGTCAGCCCCTTTCCCGCCAAAAGGAATAAAGAATAATGAAGTGGCGAATATTCTAAAATACATCTTTCCCTCCGACGTATAGTGACAATATGATAAATACGACATATCCATTTTCCAAGATAGATTAACATTTTTCTCTTAAAAATTTCCACTGTACCTTTGTGTTTAGCCTTGAGGTACTCAAATTTACGGCTCGTTTAAGGAATACGTTGCTCAGTTTTGTCTCTCTCTTTTCTCTCTCTCTCTCTCTCTCTCTCTCTCTCTCTCTTTCTCGAACACTTTCTCGCACTCTTTCTTTCTCCCACTTTCTTTTTTTCACTCTTTCTTTCTTTTTTCTCTTCTCTCTTTTTCTCTTAACGGAGCCTCTGCTGCCGCAGGTACCACCCCGAGGACGACGTGGAGGACAACGAGGTGGTTGTGGACGGCGAGGAGGGCCTCCGCCCTGAAGGCGACGACGTCGACGACGCCCTCAACACGCGCGCCGCCGCTGAGCGCTTTCGTCGCGACGGCGTCTTCCGCTTCCGCTTCCAGGTGAGCAGCTCTCCAACATGCGAAAGCAATGAATTAAGTCTGGAGGAATCAAAAGGGCTAAGAGCCAAAGCTCTTCATTCAGAGAGAGATTGTTCGAGGAGCAGTTCATTGAGAAAATAAGTTTTATAAAATAGTATTCTCCAGTGACCTTATCGCGTATGCTCTCGTGGCTCCATGGCGATGTCGCTTGACTTTTTTTTTTACCAGTGAGTTTCCGGGTTCGATTCCCGTAGAACCTCATGTGAAATTTGTTTTGACAAAACGAGTTTGCATGCTTCACAGGATCTAGTCCAACTCCTGTGAAGCGTCCTAAACCTTACCCCTATCCTTATTCCTTCCCAGTTCTGGCCACTGGGTAGTGACGCAGGAGCGCTTAAGAGAGGCGCATATGCGGAGATGCTACCTGGCGGTCCTCTTGACAACTGACTGGGACGAGACGAGATGTGATGGTCTACGTAATTAATGGAGGATTACTCCAAAAGCGCGAAGCTCTCGACGCCTCCCAAGGAGTTTTGGAGATGCAACAAATCTTTAAAAAAAGCGCACCCAATATCTCGAAGGATTTGGTAACATTACTTCTTGCATAAGGATATCTGAATAAGTTATTAATGAAAGAAGTTTGATGTAGACATAATGAAATGAAAGTGCACCGCTTTTGGATTCCAAGGTTTAAATCGTATAGTGCAAAGGGATGGGATTTTCTGTATTGTATTAAACGTGTACAATTTGAACTGTCATGACGATTTCAATAGTCATTATTTCCATGATCGTATAATAAAACTTGTATAATACAAATCAAGATGAGTCATCTAGTCTTTATGGTTTTATCGAAACTAAGCATTATATTCCAGAACGATTGAATGACAATGGAAGTGCAGTCATGAGGTCTTTTTGCACTCTTGACGTCACAACCTTTTCTTCGTCTTCCGAAAGAAGTGTTATTCAATTACTGCTATAATAAGTACATGTTTGTTCTGTCGGAAGGGAATTAAAAAACTGTCGCAAGTCGCCAATTGGCAACAATAAATTACCCCGCCAACCTTAATTGACGCTTGTGGATCATGTTTTAAATATGTTAATCGCCCTACGAATACCACCTAACCTCACTATATATCATTTAGTTCTTCCCTTTTGTCACACGATCTCAAGTACTGTTACTATAAAAGGATAGTAACCAAATTTATAGTGTAAAGGGAAAGCATTTGGTCTTTGGGTGTACTCCCTCTATGCACGTCACCGTTCAGAAGAAGAGTAGAATGTAAACTTCGCCGGTGTGATCACACGGACTGCTGATCTCTGTAGTAAATGCTGCATTGATACTGTAGTAATTGATATCTGTAGTAAATACTCACTGCTTTGATACCACTCAACACTCATTAGAACTCAAAAAAAAGTAAGACCCAACGACTTGAAACTTTCTTCTCAAGTGTTTCAACGCGCTGAATCCAAATCAGAAACCAGAATTGTGACACCATCCTCCAATTTTTATTGAGAAAAAACACCGTGAAATTAACAAGCTACATCATCACTGTGTTTTTTCGCGATTTAAAAAAACTGGAGGGTGGTGGCGCAATTCTGACGTAATATTCGGATTCAACGTGTCGACACACAAAGAGAAACATGTGTAAAGTCTTTGGGTCTGACTATTTTTTGTGTAATTGGCAATATTGCTTTACGATAATAGTAAGAGTGTAAGAGTAGATGCTACAGCAGTTTAAAATGAACTAGACTGTGATTTATAATGCAAATATCCTCGTCGAAACTTCAACTGTTGTAAACTTTCGCTCTCTTTCAACCTCAACGTTTTTTCAACTGAAGAGCTTCAATTATCGTGCTGAAAATCATAATAGAAAAGTGAAACATGTGATATATGCGCTTCGCTCTTTGAAATGGAACATATCATGGAAGGACCGTGGATATTGTTGCCATAGGAATAGCAATGGAATTCAGCACATACGAAACATATTTCACAGCAAATTATTCATTTTTATACAACTTCATAGCATATCAAGTAAATCGTACTACAATACTACATCAAGTAACTAAAAGATTGAGGACATTATCTTGAGAATGTTATCTGAATCCTAAAAACGAATCAATATTGGAAGAAAATATTTGCGAGGGTGTCGGCTGTCCGTTTTTGTAATCAATGGTTTCTTGATTGTACAGATCAATCGCTAGTTGATACTCAGCTATTGACTCCCAGTCGATCCTTTTTTCTCTTTGAAATGTTATCGACCTCCAAGGGGTCAATACCGCCTTCGTTGGGAACCCTTGGCCTAGAGAACTCGGGCTTCTAAATAACTGGCGCCTTCAATGACCAGAGACTAAACGACAATGTCTCGGGCTTCTTTACGGCTGTACTTAGTTGCTACGTTTGCCGTAGCAATCTTGAAGAGAAAGCGCCGACACGTCGAGGCTACGCAGGTCGCTGCGTCGAGTCTTCAATAACCGCACTGCCGCTGCTAATTTAATCGTAATCATCGTTGTAATCCCAGCCGTCGCCGCCCCCATCGTCGACGTTGCCATCGCCGCCCCCGGCGTTCATCATCATCGTGTCGCCATCACTGTTGCCGTTGTCACCCTCATCATCACCGTCGCCATCATCGCCTTCACCGTCGCCGTTGCCTTTACCATCGCCGTTGCCTTTATTGCCTGCGTTGCCTTTACCATCGCTATTGGCTTCGCCGTCGCCGTTGCCTTTACCGTCGCAATTGCCTTTACCATCGTCGTTGCCTTTACCATCGTAGTTGCTATATCATCGCTATTGACTTCACCGTCGCCGTTGCCTTTACCATCGCTATTGGCTTCACCGTTGCGTTGCCTTCACCGTCGCCGCCGAACGCGTCCGCGATGGCATCCACCGCGTGAAGCGGCTTCCGCTTCCGGTTGCAGGAGACCGCGGCCGCGCGCTGCACGTGCGCCACCGGAACCGTTGGGTGAACGGGAGCGGTACTCGCGATTTGCATAGGCGAAGCAGGGCAGGAGGCACACGGCTGAAAAACATTCACGACAGGAAGGTTCCAAATTGTAACAATGTTGTTGCTTCACTTTTCCCACACGTTTAATTAAGTAATGGTATTTGAAAGGGTAAATCAATCGTCTCCTTTTTCACGTCTTATTTTCTTGGTATAATCAAAGTATTTCAACTTAATTGTTTCGTCTGCACTCTATTGAGATCTCTCTCATATGCGACTGTTATTTTATTATAATATAAGCTGATTAGGATTTCCGAGCAGTAGGTTTCAGAATGAAAGTTTGATGTAAATGGGAAGTGAGGGTTGAGTTTCTACCACACAGCAATTACTTATTTTCATGAATTAGTATATTTTTTAAATCAGTCTCTAATTCAAATGATTAATACGTCATTAATAACGCTGTAATGGCGTTTAAATAAAATATCTTCTCTGCGTTATGCGAAGTCGTTAATGATTTGAATCAGCATTAAGATATATTTATACGATTCTATGTAAACATAAAAAAGTTTGAAAATATAGAATTTGAGCCTTCCTTGTTCAGAACTGTTTCGAGAAAGGTTGAGTTTGCGTGAATGTTTATTATATACTTGTTGTATAGCTCACGTTTTAGTAATTTGTAGAATTAGGGGAAACTGAGTTGGAAACACAGCAGTGCAGAGAAGCAATAAAAGTGTTGTGGCACTTTAACGCGGCTAACGTGACCAGCTCGAAAGTAGTTTGCCTGCCCATGTCCGTGTAATTGCGCGGCGAGGCAAGACAAGAGTACACAGGAACAAGCGTTAAAAGGGGCTTGCGTGATGGGCGACGGCGGGGCGCCGGACCTTGGCGTGTCAGGGACGGACTCTAAGAACGAAGCACTGCTCTTGCTCACCCACGGGTCTTGGTCGTGCAGCTGGTGAAGATATATCTGAAGTTGTAAATTTAGGTGTTTTTTTATATGTGACACGCTCAGTTATCAACGTATATATGGCTTCATGGATGCTTTATGCGAGAAGCCATTCACGCAACAGTTTTTCATCAATCATAAATCGCCCTTTTTGACATAGTAATTAGACAAATAGATTTGAGGCTGCAAACTTTCGTCTGTGTGCATTTTATCTCGCTATTAATTATGTTTTAATACAAAAATTAAGCTAAAAAATAACAAAACAATAATAGATCATTCGGATTTTAAACAATAGAATGTTTTCCATTTTTTGTAGTTTTCTCTTAAAAACATTTTTCGTAAGTTCATTCTTTGTTTCGAAACTTCTGTGTAAGTTCTGTGATTATATTCCCGCATAATATTTCCTTAATACAGTACATAATTTTTCCACTATGCCAAATGAGGATCATGACTGTCTTTACTGTCACCTGTACGAAATAATAGTGTTTCCCTTTCGAGGACATCGTGTACAACATTGTCAAGTTATTTGTTTATTATATGTATGCTGAAATGCCAATAATCAGTTCACTGTTCTTTGTTAAGAAAGGGTTGATGAGAGTCAATAGAAAAACAAAGTCTTCAACAGGCGGTGATAAACTTTGTTAGTGTGTAAGCTTGTTTAAAACTACAAATATATCTATTCAAGAACAATCTATATAAAAAAGTTTCTGTCAAGTAGGCGTACTCTACACCTTTATCGCCAGCTACTTATCAAGCGTTTTAGCTCATAATAATGAAAATAATTTATTGATTTTTTATTTATAAGAAATAATACTATTAAGATTCTAGAAAACATCAGTAATGTCAGTTTTGTCCATATACATACTTTTAAAAAAATCTAAATATCTTTTACCGTTGTTTCCATTCATGTTTACAAATATTCAGAGAGATTACAACATACGCATTTATCTGAGAACGTAGCAGAATATGACGCATAGTAAGGACATACATTTCTGTCATGACATCACTCAGTGTGTTGCATTGTTTCATGCTCGGAGTTGCCACATTTCAACTGGCCTCATTGAATGAAGCCGCCAGAATGAGGAACGAAGGACCCACCTCTGGATGATGTTGCTTGGTTTGCTGAAATACGTGTTTCGATTCTGAATTGATAATTCGATCTCAAATTAATTGTTTTTTTCTTCTTTGTAGGTAAACAATGTAGGACGCATTTTTCTCACCATTTTAAAAAGTGTCAGAACATACCAGCTTTTAAAAAGTGCATATAAAAACATTTTGTTTTTTAATGCCCGTCAATGAAAATGAATATTAAGGCCAACTCGTAATAAAAATAACATGTCAATACTTGTAAGAAATTAAGGGGAAAGGGGGAGAAAGAAGAGAAATTAAGAAGGTTCCAGTTTAATTTAAGGTCGGCTGAATACAACAAAAATTCGTATTAAAATATGAGTACATTACTGAATTGTGTGTATCATGGTACTTGTTGTGCAGTGATAATTAATTTTTTACGAAACAGGAATTTCATATTCCGAACTCAATTCCCTACCGGGTCAATTAACTATCCCATCGTAAATGAAAATGTGCTTCCGGCTAATGGCTTCTTTGTCCTCAATAATGGTCTCGAAGAAAGCCTTGGAAAGTGAAGTGCCTTCACTGTCGACAGACAGGCGTGTGATGATAGGCAGGCGTGTCCGAGATGATGAAAATAATGGTTAAATTAGAAAGAATATCTCTCGAGAGCAGGCAAACCTGACAGCCATTCGCAATGGGTTGTTTAGCTTAACGGGTACCACGATTACGGATTTTGCGATACTCGAGTCGATATTACATTTATGGACGGCACCAGCGTAGAATAAAATACCGACATACTGATACAGTTGAAATCCCAGAATTTGTACTTCCAATATAAAGTGATTTCGAGTTACGATTTAAAATTCAGGAAATTGTAAAGTAGGCTACCCTTCACTGAACATTCACTTTTCTGAACATCTATATATTATATATTGAAATCAATATTTGCTCTCAACCAAACTATATTTTTTTACACAATATAGGTTGATGTAGAAAGAAAAATAAGAAAGGAAAATGTACTTATTTTGTCTTTAGAAAGAAACAGACATGTAAAGAAGAAAATAGAAAGACATGAGATAGAAGAACGCGTTTGTTGTTTCAATGAAATGTATCATGGTGGTAATCCAAATTATGAGACGCTGATATAACAGTTTGAATGTCGATTTCACTATATTATCGATTCATCGTTATTGGTTTTGGAGGGGAAAAAACGTTCGCAGCGTAGGAGGTCGTGGACAAAGTCGCGGAGGCGGCGCCTGTCTGGTATCCGTCCGTGTCCGTCTCAGTGCCAATCTCAGCCACCGCCGTGGAGGTCTCCGTCGCGAACTGCATTGTTGCAACGGAGCGAACGAGCGCGGCCCTCTAGTCCCGTCGCTGCAATAGCCCGCCGCCCCCCTCTTCCCCCCTCCAGACCCTACCCGTCAGTCCCTCCGTCCCGCAGTGGCTTCCTCTCGCCCCACCACGCCTCGTCGCTCTCGACCTCTAGGCGTTCTTTGCGCCTCTTTCAACCGCCCCGCTCCGCCCCACCCCCTACCACCCCACCCACACCACCCCACCCCACCCCACCCCACCCCGCCCGCCCCACCCCGCACCCGCCCCGCCCCATGCCGATCCCACTCCTCCCTCCCTGCCCCGTCCAGCGTACCAGCTCTGCATCTGCTCGCCCCGCCCCGAGCCCCGCCCCGCCCCGCCCACGCCCGCCCCGTCCCCGTCCCGTCCCGTTCCACCAGGACACCACCGCACCCCACCAAACCCACCCACCCCACCCCACCCGCGTCCCGTCCGTCCCGTCCCGTCCCGTCTCCCGTCCCGCCCCGTCCCGTCCGCCGCTCTACTCCTCCCTGCCCTGCCCCGTCCAGTCCAGCTCTGCTCCGCTCACGTCCCGCCCCCACCCCGTCCCGCTCCGCCCGCCTCGTCCCGCTCCGCCCGCTCCTCCCACCCGCCCTGTACCGCCCCACCCTCTCCCCCGTTCCATGCCTATCTCGCACCGGCCCGCCTGGCCGTGCCTCCCCGCCCCTCCGCTCCGCTTCGCCGCTCGCCCCACCACCGCCCTGTCCCATCCGCCTTCCCACTGCCCCGCCCGTCCCGTTACATTTTTCCTTCCCGCCCAGCCCCCTCCACTACTCCTTCTTACCCCCAAACAGGCGCCTCGCCCCATGCGTCCTGCGCCTCGGGCGAAATTGAGTGCCGGCCGGCCTTTGCAGAATTCGCAACATACGGAACAATACAGAAGGGAGAAAAGTTAAACAACATGATAAATCTCTTGTCGCAGTACGTTAGATTGTAGCATTCACAGCACGGAGCTGAGTTGCTCCCGTTTGAAAGCCTCAAACATCTATTGTAGACTTTGTGGAGAGACGAGTTTGAACTTTTCCTTCTTGGCTTCCTGTCTGTAAAAGTTACTTGTCCCTTCCCCGTTGTTTCCAATTTATGATTTCACATTTGGCACTCATTTTGTAATTTTATTTAAGCTATCATTATTATTATTATTTATTTAAAATGTATTCTTACTACAATTGCCACAATTGTTTCTATTTCTATTGTAGACTAAAATGCAACCGATTAGTTATTTTCCGTGGTTTCTCCGATCAACACCAGGAGAATGCCAGAGTAGAGCTGTAACAAAAGAGCCGTGGACAGCGCGCTATCTTTCCTTGCTTTTCCTTGCCCTTACCTCGCACCTTACTTACACACTTGCACTATACTACTCACACGTTGGAAGACCAGTCGGAAGCACAGTCTGTCTCAGATGGGGTGGTGCCCTGCTGGTGGGAGATACTGGATGGAGAAAATCCCGCTAGTAAACGTATAGGTCTGCGTCGGATCTCACCAGCCAGCGGGGAAGAACACCGCCACAACCTCCGTGATAAAACATGTACTACACTAACGGGAGTAATGACCACGTTAGTACGTCAGAAAACACGAAATTCATGAATCAAAATGCAAAATGCAATGCATTTCAGTCGTCTTGGCAAGTGGTGGGGTACTTAATTAACCCAGTAAGTTATTGATTAGGAATTGTATGGTACATGAAATGACGTCAAATAATATTTAAACCGAACTGCAAGGACAATTGTAAAATTAAATTTCACTGAAATTATTTTGAATATTTAAATTGAAACCTAGTATTTTTGAGAGCGGTTTTGAATTTTATTCAACTTTGAGATTTATTATAATCAAATATTTTAACAGTGTATACTATGTAGTACATTTATTATAAAAATATTTCTTTCATTATCTAAAAAATATGAGTGATCACTGTTATTTCTTACGCATATTTTGTTACCTATCGATTCCTTTATTTCAAGAACCAATTCATTCGCGCTCGCTAGCCGGAGGTGTAGTTCTCGGATCGCGTGCAACGAACAGAGGAAGAACTCCAAAGAACTTTCTCTTTCTTGGCACTCTTGAAGCATGAGTCACCTCGCCAGCATCGGTGTACGCCTTGTGTAATTCAAAAACCGAAGGAAAATGGAAGCCTTCACGTAAGCGCGCCGTGATCTTAATTGGTGACCTCTTGCACAATATATTCCCTAGTATTTTCAATGTTCTGTTTTTGCAGACTGTGGGTTGTGTTGTGTTCTAGACGATCAGTTAAGCACTTACACAAAACACTTAATGATATCGCTTCAGGCAAAAGTATCCGGCCGAATGATTACCACTTGATTACTATTATTAGCGTATCTTCTGCGTAGTTTACAGCTGTGAAATAGATTACAGATAGTTTTACATAAAAGGAAATGCGATAATTGAATTAATGATAGTTCGTAATGAACTGCAATGATGCCGAATTGATATCCATGCTTTACACGTAAAGCTTCTCTACTGAACGTTTCCATAATAATTCGGCTTGCCTGGATTAAATATATACTCTTTTGAACTTTTTTCCCCCAAAATAATATACAGGAGTCCCACCAACTATGTTTCCCCACAACTTCTAAATGGCTCCCGTTATCGAAATGCAGTTTTCGCTGAACAATGCAAAATCATGGGTCAAGCAATGTGTCGTAGAGACATTGTTAATTTTTTTTTTTTTTACTTTTTGAGAAATTTAGTCATCTTTGATTTTTTAAATGCAAGCATGTATTTTTATTTCTAGCAAGAGGAAGATCATAAAACGAAGAATGCAGTGATGTAACGTATGTTAATGTTTTGGTAGTATTTTGAGTATAAAATTATACTTTCTGACATGTGGGGAGAGGGAAGCGATAGAATATGAAAATGTGGTTGGTGAAGAAGATTGAATTGACTACAGCGTTGAGGCAACAATGTTCAAATGCAAGTAAAAAAATAAATAAAAATAACAACAAATATTCTTCAATTTATTTAATTTTTTAAATGATTATAATTAATTAAAATTAAATTAAAATTAAATATTATATTATTTTTTTAAATTATAATTTAAATTAAAAATACTTTTAATTATTTTTTATCTACATCCCCCTCATCATATTTCATGTGTAAATCGTAAATACATTTGGGCGACTTTAACTTTCTTCCGCCCTTTTGTGGCAAGGTGATAAACTGCGTTGAGTGGGATTGGGTGATTGGACTCGTGTGGGTGGTATGGACCTTCTTATCACTGGACCAACGCTGGGAACAATTCACAAATTCTGAACACGCGCCTTTGGCGTGCGCATGGTGCCCGTAAGAGCGGAGCGGCTGGGAGTGGAGGGCGTTCGTTTGCCGGGACGGCACGTGGGGCGCACTGGCGGCGTGAGCGACGACCTGCGGGTCCGGGTGGGGCGGCGGAGCGCGGGCGGGGCCGGGGGTCAGGGCCACGCGTATGCGTCCGGCTGCGCGACCGCTGGCCGTGCGCTTCCACAGCCCGCGCGGCCGCTGGTTGCACCTGCGCGCCAGCACCCAGCAGGCCGTCGCCGGCGAGTTCGCCGTCTTCCACGCGCGCGCCAACTTCCCCATGGACTCCTTCTTCTACCTGGTGAGCACGCCGCCAGCAGCCGCGCTCACCTACCCTCCACGACATCAAATCATGGATGTTCCCAATACATTGAGCTCCCGACCAGGAGATCCGCGGTTCGTGTCCCGATAGTGACCAAGATTTGACACCAGCCACCAAGCTAGGTCGAATTCAGCTGCTGTCTGGAGGGGAATTCCAGAGGCTGGCTACTCTGATCGGTAGTTTTCCTTGAATTCTCCAACCAGCATCAGGCGAATGCGAGGCTCACAATCCAGCCAGGGTCCGCGCGCCATGATTTCTGCCTTTTTCTTTTGTCATTTTCTCGCCCCCTTACCCACATTTACATGTACTACACTGACACACATGTGGACAGACCACTCGGGTATTTAGAGCTTGTTCCTGTTGGGAAGGTGCCTCGCTGGTGGGTGATACCTGGTTGGGGAAGACCCCACAAGTCGACCGGTAGGTCGGCTCGGACCTCACCATCCAGCGGGGGAACCCTCCCGTGATAAAAATATTCACAATGATATTAAAAGATACCAACCGCCACATGTTGCTCAGTTCAATATCCTAGACCTGATATTTTCACTCCGCTCGGCAGTGGAGGCTGCAATTTTTCGGTCTAAAGAGATAGCTATGCCAACAACGATCCCTTCACGTGAAAACGTGTCATGACATGAGACCCATATTATGTCTGATCGATGGCTTCGATCCTGCGATCTGTGGTGACTGCTAACTGTCCACAAGAGCTTCCACAGTTTCGCCTCCAACACTGAATTCGGCTTGATCTTGTAGTATGGGACGTTTTTCTAGATCAACTCTGACTTTGCGGTCAGGGCCTGGTGGACTACCGCAGCAACGTCGTTGTATCGACTCTGGTATTTTCTTTGTGCCGAAGCAGAACTCTCGTCCATTATGGAGGGTTTCGCCGGGTTGGTTGCCAAAGTGGCTGCGGTCCTCTACATTCATATCTCCAATCTCATATCTTTGGTATTTGCGAGTGGAGGTTATTTCGTTCTGAATGAAAATGACGAAGCCTTCTGTCTCAGAAAAGAGACCAGATTTTGTTAGCCAGGAGACTGACAATCCCATGTTCTCAGGGTTCCTTTTCAGCTCAACAGGAAACCTGCCCTCCAAACATTTCTGGATCCACTCACACAGCCTATCTCGTCTGGTGTCTAAAAAAAGTCCGCTTGATTCAGGTTCAACGGAGTAAAATTATTGTGCTTGACACAAATTCCTTCATGTAGAACTGTCGTTGTTTGGTGGAAGTATTTGCGTAGAATGTTGAATTGTTTCGCTGACAAGGTCTCTAAATCCAGAAGAACTTTTCCGTACCTAGGTTAAGTATAGTACTTCCATTAAACTGTTCGGATGTTGCATGCGGTACTTGGTAAGAGTGGTCCTAACTTTTCGATTAAGCTCCTGGTGAACAGTTGTTGCACAGTGAAGAACATCAAATTAGCCATAGGCGCTGCACAAGTTGTTTTGGCTGACATGTGGGTCTTTCCATTTAAAATAGTTTTACAAATTGCGACCGTTTGCAAGACTTTGTATTGAATGTCACGCTTCATCTTCGCTTCACTTGTGTTCAAACGCTGGTCAAGCCAAAATATTTATAAGTATCTTCTTGCCCACGTTCTTGGATATTGTGCCACACATCACGGTGAGTTTGTCAGGATTAAAGATGTTTATTCTCTTCACAAGCACTGCATTCCATTTATCTATATCAAAATCTGTACTAATAGTTTTTATGAAGGACATACATATAGCTGCCTCCAGCAAACAAGACATTTATCTTTGTACGCCAAGTTCCAATGCATTGTTGCCTTAGGTGGATATACTGTGCTTTTACATTGTGGAGTCGAAGGACATGTAAAAGCCACGAATGAGTTGTCGACTCGAAGGCCTTAGTATAGTGGATCCGTCTTAAAGAAATGTTGCAATGTCTTTTTGTGACTTGATTGGCTACAACGCTGTCTGCCATCACTAATTCTTTGCAACCTTGAGCACCCTTTCTGCTACCATGACCTGGACCTTTTGTCAAGTTCTTACACAGATTTGGCGGAACAAATCCCAGAGTTCCGATAACTATCGGAACAACCTGTACTTTTTCGCCTCACATTCGACTGATCTTGATTCCCAAGCTCTTTTAAGTATTTAATACGTTTCTCTGGCTCCTTCATTACGATGTTTTGATCGCATGACACAGCAACATTTACAAAGAGACATGTTTTCCTCCAAATACCGGACAACAATATCCGGTTTGTTTGCCGCTTTTGTGGAATCAGTTTGAATTTGTTGGTCCTACAGTATTGTACATAGTCCAACAGACATCACCGGTTTTGGTGAGTGTTCGGATCACTTCACGTTTTTGGAACTTAGAGAATGATAAAGATTGAATTGAATTGAATTGAATTGAATATACCTTATTTTACGTGGCGAGACTCGGGCCATCAGGCCCGCTCTTCCGTCTGACCACGCAAATTTCGCTACGCTCCTTTCACCAACTAGCAAAGAAAGGAGGTATTTCTTGGGCGAGAAACAGGTGATTTGAATTTAGCTCAGAGGCGTCATTTAGGCTTGAGGATCTTTTACATGCAAGTAAATCTACGAACATGGGACAGCCGGCTTTACTTCCCCTCCGAAGGAAGGCGTATGAAGGATTTTTTCGCCCTTAAAAATCCACGGCTTCGATCGGGTTTGAACCCGCCAACTTGGGTACAACAGTCCAGTACGCTAACCGTTACACCACCGCCGCCGCCGCAAGATCATCTTGGAAAATGTTTAGTAACTCTTTATCATTAACATTATTATTATAACTATTATTATTGTTTAAATTGTTTAGACTCCTAGAGGATCATATAAAGCAAATCATGACTTGTTGCTGTTATTTTTCTTTTTCGTCCAGAATTTTTTCATTATCTCGCTATGCTTAGCTCGACGTTCATCAGTCCATTTTCCTCTTGGTAACTTTGGTTTGTCTTCTGGTACAACTACCCAGATATATATCTTGTGTCTGAAGATGTTCTTCGATGTCTCCCGGTGAGATGGTGGCGTTTTTTAGATAAATTTGGACCTGTTTTACCCAGACTGCTGTCGTTTTCATTTTCTGCAAGTACATCAAAATTTTCATCAAAATCGGTTGTCATCTTGTCTCATAATGTGCCCATAGAATTTCAGTCGTCGTTTGCGGAAATATGCGATGTTCTGTCACAGTGTGTGGTTGTAGACGGTATCCTTCGTCTGTGAGTTTTGGACCAAGGATCTTCCGGATTATTTTTCTTTCAGCCTTCTTGATATTCTCGAGGTCTCCTTTGTAATTTAGATTTAGGGTCTCGCTGAAGTAGAGTGTTTCAGGTTTGATAACAGTAGTGTAGTGTCGAACTTTTGTGTTGATATTTATGCATCTTTTATTGTAGATGCTCGCAACTTTCCCATAGGCTTTCCGCGTTTGAGTTCCCGTGCTTTTTATGCTAATCTTTCAGTGCCTGTAGGTTTAATAATTTCGCCGAAGTATTTGAAGTGACCAACCTTTTTTTATAGTGCCATATTTTGTAATTAACATTTCTGTTTTGATATGATTTGTGGCCGTGAATTTGGTTTTCGAAAAGGGTAAAATTATTATTATTATTATTATTATTATTATTATTATTATTATTATTATTATTATTATTATTATCATCATCATCATCATCATCATCCCCTCAGTATGAAAGTATATTTGTAGAGTATTTTAATTGGACTTCGCCCTGAGAGCGAAGAACAGTTTTATCCAAAGAGAAAATTTTTGGAGAAAAACCAATTGCATCAGCTTACCTGAATTAACGGTAGTCTTAATGACTTTTATCAATGTAAAGAAGGAACATCTGTACATTTATATGTAAAAATTGTTAACTTTTAACTAAGTACTCTAAATACAACTCGTCAAACTCGTATAACGCTATTATTATTTACCTTATATGGGTAAAGTAAAATAACATTTCTATCGAGAATGAATTTATTCGATACTGAGATTAATAACGTAGTTATTCACAGAACGTATGTTAATTTTCGCTTTAGTCTCACTAAAAAATATTTCGTAATTTTTTCTCCATCAGTTTACTTCGATTAAAGGAAATTTAAAATCCTAAGGACGTATCAGGTTAATGTACAACAGGTTGTTTGTGAATTGTCGTGTAGATTTCAGACTTTAGGATTTCATTTTCTTTTTCTTGATCAAGACTATGGGATTGTGGAGCCCATCGAATTAGAAGTTTACTTCGATGGCCTTGACTAAGTGTTAATTTAATTGTTTGGTTCTCATTGTAGCTGCTGACATCGTGCAATAAACGTTCGGATTACATATATTTTAGAGGGATTTACTGCAGGTCTTTAATTGCCTCTTCCGCTGTGAAATGTGTTTTATAATAATACGTTCGTGTAGAGATAGCTATCTTTCCCGCTTCGTGGTTACTATGACAACCTCAGATACGAACGTTCTGGAGCTGGTTTTGAATTCCTGGCATAACCATCGCCCCATGTTTCTCTGCTGTAATTGTTTCCGATATTTGAGGATGAAAATTGTATTCTTCCGGTTACGCAATTCTTTGTTCACCTTCAAAATGTATTAAAGATGTGTGCATTCCCATTGATTGTCGACGGTTTGAGTCCCGATGGTAGCTGATTTTTGAGACTGACTTTTTGACTGTTATTGTTATTGTTATTGAGTCTGACACTAGCCACGGAGAATTCAGCCGCTATCTGGAGAAAAGCGGCTGGCTGCTTGCCTCTCATCGGTTATTTTCCGTGGTTTCTCTCATCCATAATAACCAGGAGAATGCCGGAGCAGTACCTCACAAATGTGTCAGGAACCACGCGCTATCTTTGCTTGTCCTTCCTTATCATATCCTTCTCCATTTCTCACTCTCACTCACTCACACACACACACACACTCACACACACTCACACACACACTCACACACACTCACACACACTCACACTCACTCACACACACTCACACACACACAGCCGCACACGCACACTCACTACCGCACATGTCGAGAGCTTAGAGCACGTCCCAGTGGGGTTGTGCTCCTCCGGGGGGGGGGAGATTCCTGGCGCATGAAGCCCACGTGTAGGTCGGTGCCGGATCTCACCAACCGGTGTCGGAACACCGCCACCTCCCGAGATAAAACATTGACTACACTCCCGGAAACAAGGGTCATAGCGGAACCATCGATGTGCCCCGGCGGCAGTCGTCGCGGTACGTGAGCGGCGGGGGCGCGTGCGCAGGTGATGTCGAAGGGCCAGGTGCTGTTCTGGGGCGAGCAGCGCGCGGCGGGCGCGCGCCGATCCGTGACGACGTTCGCGGTGCCCGTGGCGCTCGCCATGACGCCCGCGCTGCGCGTGGTGGCGCTGCACGTGGCCGCCGACGGGGAGCTGCTCACCTCCGCCGCCGAGGTGCCCCTCGCGCCCTTCTCGCAGTACAAGGTGAGTGGGGCTAGGGGGCGCGACGGAAAGGAAGCAAGTGAGGTAATGAATTCAGAAACGAAGGAATGAGTTTGATTGAGAATAATAAAGGAACGGAAACGTCGATGTGTGGATGGAGAAATGAACATAATTAATAAATGGATAAATGAATGAATGAATGAATGGAAAAATGAATGAATGAATGAATGGAAAAATGAATGACTGAATGAATGGAAAAATGAATGAATGAATGGAAAAATGAATGACTGAATGAATGGAAAAATGAATGACTGAATGAATGGAAAAATGAATGACTGAATGGAAAAATGAATGACTGAATGGAAAAATGAATGACTGAATGGAAAAATGAATGACTGAATGAATGGAAACATGAATGAGTGAATGGAAAATGAATGAGTGAGTGAATGGAAAATGAATGAATGAATGAGTGAGTGAATGGAAAATGAATGAATGAATGAGCGAATGGAAAATGAATGAATGAATGAGCGAATGGAAAATGAATGAATGAGTGAATGGAAAATGAATGAATGAGTGAATGGAAAATGAATGAATTAGTGAATGGAAAATGAATGAATGCGTGAATGGAAAAATGAATGAATGAATGAATGAATGAATGCGTGAATGGAAAAATGAATTAATGTTACTTGGATTAAGCACAAGGTGTATGCAACTCCCATCAACTTCAGAATTTCAGATTCTTTCCTTTCATTTGAACAGACCAGTCCCGTTTATTTTCCATTCACTTACCCTTTTATTGCTTTCGTTTTTCGTTACTTTATATTTCTAAATTTCACCAAACTATGTAGTAGTGAAATTGAAAAATACAGACAAGGGCACATTTGAGAACGTTGAGAGGAGATGCGTTGATGTAAGCCCAAAACGGTTAGGTTACAAAATTATAATTGTTGTCATGGTAATTCGAATCCTATAAAAGCAGCAGTTATTACTGGGAATAAAATAGAGTACCACACAGCAGTACTATAAGAGCGGCTCCAAATATTCGGCAAGTAGGGAGTGATGTTACGATTTTTTAATGTATCCAAAAGACCGACAAGCTGCGATTGGGACGAGCACCGAATGTTTGATGCTTCGCAAACGGCAATCAAAGCAACCCATCCACGCTATATAGGAGTCGCAGAATACCGGAAGGATCCCACCTTCAGGCTTCCGTTACCTCTCCGCATTGCTTTGCCGAAGACGTACGGAAGTTACACGAACAAATCTGGCTGTCTAATCTCGCACATTCACTATGTACTCTTTTGGCCGTACTGCTCTTCAAACGCACAAAATGTAGTTTGATACATTCAATAGCAAATTAATCCCAACAAAGGCAAGGTTCTAATCCGAGCCGGTATGATCCCAACAAAACGTGACCAAAATCCGATCGTAAGCTGAATGTCTGCAATTTTAAGATATTGTATATTTACACTTGGTGCTTTTTAATATTATACGCTCTTAGCAGCTCTTAGTGTTTTTTTAATGTTATACACCGCCACTAGTTTGCTACTTCTTTAGTCTTCTTAAATTACTAGGTAATCAAAGATGACTATCATGCTTTACTTATCCCTAACAGTAAATTCGTGCTACTTACTTTTGAGGTAAACTTTTTTTTATATAAATACCGAACTTGTCGTTCCTTCAGAAGAAGAGGATTAATATAAAACAAAGCGTTTTTGAAAGCCTGCATAAAAAAATATGCGTCGTGTTTATTAGCTTAGTACATATGGATAATTTGTGAACCAAATATCGTACATAAAAGATGATACCATGACTCCACTAGCTTATTGGACAAAGTAGTATGTTTTTATCTTGTTAATTTATAAAAAAACGATTAAAATATATTTGTATCGTCAACAACTATTGTAATAAAATTCCAATTTCTGGGAAATCGTATTTTTACGAGTGAAATTTTTGTCGACGAGCCATTTGTAACTTCCGTCTGCAATATAGGTAACTGTACTCGCATGGTTCAATGTTCCGACAATAGCTTTGACACGGTTGCCAGGTTCTCAAAGAACCTTTGCGCATTCTCGAGGCCGGTTTTTTATTATCGCCTCTAAACATCGTTGCAACTACATTCTTTAAATGGCCTGCAATGTAACTTTTTTCAAGTTGTTTTATTTCAGTGCTGAGCTAGTGTATTGATCCACGAAAAAATTCACGTGCAACTCTACCATCAAGTTTTTCGCGATACGACGTTGGAGGAATAAGAACATTTTACATCACGTATACCATTTTTTCCCCTTTTAAAACGCGATGAGATTTTTTAAATACTCTTGGCGAAGTTCAATACTAATGTAGTTATGGTTCACTATTTTTGTATTGCAATTAAAACTTTTATTGTGTTTTTTTAAGGAACGAGTTGATGATGCACTGGATTCTTTACATAGGATTTGTAATATTTTGTTGTGTATTTAGAAGGTTTGTGAATTCCTTTCTGTCGCATAGTTGTCTTCATTTTCAATTTCCTTCCCTTAAAGAAACCTGAGATAAAAAATCATTGATTTCTTACCTTTTCAATTTCCATTATTTATATCAGTGTAAATTTGTATGTTTGTGCGTGTGTGTGTTTGTGTAAGGGTGTATGTATACGCGCGGACGTTATGCGTATCTTGTCCTTGTGCGTACATTTGTATGCATTCATGCATGCGTTTTTGTGCGTGCGCCTGCATGTGTACAAATAAGAAAGCTCACCAAAAACACCATTAACCCCTCCGTATCCCAACCTGTCACCGCCCCAGGTACCTCCACCGACCTTTAGACAGGTCGTGCGGATCGCAAGGCGTAGGTCTCGTGTCACGGAGGTGTACCGTGCGTGTGTCAAAAAAAAACTCACCCATACCATCATTAACCTCTCCGTCCCCCCAACCGGTCCCGCCCAAGGTAAACCTCCCCCTCCCGTCCTTGGAAGTCGTGCGGACCAAAGCCTAGGTCACGTGATGACCGTGCACGTGAGTGTGTACAAATAGACAAGCTCCTCAACCACATAATCCCTTTCGCCCCAGCCCGTCCCACGCAGTACCTCAGTCGTCTGTTAGACAGGTCGTGCGACGCACAAGGCGCAGGGTCTCCTGTGACGAGGCGTGTGCGTCATGTGACAAATAAGGTTGCCTCGAAACCACATTAATCCCTCCGTACTCAGCCGTCCCCGCCCATGTACCTCATCCGTCCTTTAGACAGGTCTTGGCGCCAAGCGCAGGGCTCTCGGTGACCGAGGCGTGCAGCGTGCATGTGCCAAATAAGAGTGCCCTCGAATACCACCATTAATCCTCGTATCCAGCCCTCCCCGCCATGTACCTATCCGTCCTTAGGACAGGTTTCGATCCGGACAAGGCGCAGGGTCCCGTGGACCGAGCGTGTGCGTTGCAATGTTCAAATAGGTTGCCACTCGAACCACCATTAATCCCTCGTACTCCACCCGTCCCGCCCAGGTACTCATCGCGTCCTTAGACAGGTCGCGACCCACAAGGCGCAGCGACTCCGTGTGACCTAGGCGTGTGCGTGCTGTGCTACAAATAAGGTTGCCCTCGAACACCATTAATCCTCTACTTCCAGCCGTCCCCGCCCAGGTACTCGTCCGTCCTTTAGACAGGTCGTTGCGACCACAGGCCGCAGGCCAAGGTGACCTGGGGTAGATCGCATAGTAGTTCAATAATTGCCCTAACACCATTAACCTCCTACGTACCCAGCCGTCCCGCCCCAGGTACCTCATCCGTCTTTAGACAGTCTGTCGGGACCCAAGCGTGCAGGGTACGAGTGACTCAGGCGTGCGCGATGCAGTGCATACAAAATAAGCGTTAAGCCTCAACGCCCATCTTACCTCCTCGTATCCCAGCCGTCCCGCCCCAGGTACCTCATCGTCCTTTAGACAGCGTCGTGGAACCAGAGGCATGCTAGTGACGCGTAGCGTGTGCCGTGCATTGTACAAATAAGTTAGCCCTCGAAACACTACCATTAACCCTCCTCGTACCCAACCGTCCCAGCCAGTGTTTGTCTCATCCCGCCTTTACAGGTGTGACATAGGCAGGACTTGTGACCAGGCGTGTGGTCGCATGCTGTACGAATTAGTCCTGAACCACCATTAATTCCTCGATTACTCCAGCCTCCCGCCGGTACCTCATCTGTCCTTTCAACAGGTCGTTCGGCACGCAAGGCGCAGGAAAGACTCGGTGACACGAGCGTGCGTGCGTGTGCACAATAAGTAGCCTGAACACCATTAATCCCTTCGTACTCCGCCGTCCCCGCCCAGTACCTCACCGTCCTTAGACAGGTCGTGCGGACCACAAGCGCAGGCTCCTGTGACCGAGGGCTGTTGCGTGCACATGTATAAAAATGAGGTTTCCTCGAAACCACATTAATCCTCCTACTCCAGCCGTCCCCGCCCAGGTACCTCATCCGTCCTTTAGACAGGTCTGCGGACAACAAGCGCAGGGCTCCTGTGACCGAGGCGGTCGTGCATGTTTACAATGAGGATTTCCTCGAAACCACATTTATCCCTCCGTACGTCCAGCCCGTCCCGCCCAGGTAAACCTCATCTGTCCATTTGACAGGTTCTGCGGACCACAGGTTGCAGATAGTGTACCGAGCGTCGCTGATGCGTGAGTACAAATAAGAAAGCCCTTAACACCATTAACCCCTTCGTACCCCAGCCCGTCCCCGCCCTAGGTACCTCGTCCGTCCTTTAGACAGGTCGTGCGGCCCCCATGTGACGCGGGCGTACGCGTGGGCGTGCGTTGTGCGCAGATGAACGTGCGCATGAACCAGGGCAAGGACCCGACGATGCGCACGGCGGAAGCGGTGACGCGCGCGCGCGCGGGGGCCTTCATGGGGCTGCACGCGGAGCGCGGCGTGTCCTTCCGCACGCAGGCCGGCAACGCCATCAGCAAGGCGCGCGCCCTCCTGGCCTTCCACCGCCTCGACAACAACGGCTCCAGGTCAGGTCAGCCACCGCGCGGCGCCCTCGCCGCCCTGCGATCCCCTCCCCCCCCCCGGGGTCTTCACAACGTATGGGATTGGTGAAATAACTAATAATAATAAAAACAACAAACAATAATCACTGTAGTCGTAGGCTTCCGCGCCCAGTCTTGCAATATAAACCGTTAATTTCAGAAACACGTCAACCGCCAAATTCATCGTTTCGAGAAAACTGGGAATAAGTCTTCCAAGTTTTCAGATTTTTTTTTAATTAAAGGAGTTGATAAATGAATCTTTGTCATATAAATATGCACAAAGCCATGTGTCTATCCTCCTGAAAGAATAATATGTCGCTAAAGCGTGTTTTGAATTTTGGCGTTTGACGCGTTTCTGAAATAAACGATTCAGTTGAAGGACTACCCGCAATGGTGGCCTAACCACCCACAAATGAAAAATAAGTTATTGACACCGTCCAGGAAAGTAGACCGTCTTTGTACATTGTTTTTTGTAATTTAAGGTCATCTAGGTCATTAGCGACCACAATTGCTTTTAACGGTATGGTAACTGTGAAGTTGACATGATATGGTGGTGATAAGGGGTAAAAGAACGAACGCAATACAACTATGACCGAGGCGGGTCTCGAACCGCGAACCTTTGCTCCGAGATCGCTAGCTAACTACTGCTTTAACGATCTTTAGCATCCGGAACGTCTTTGTACATTATTGGTTTGACAAGCTTCCCTCTATAAAATTAAGAATGTCACTACGTTTTTCTCTTCACCACTCTTTCTAACCACATCTATGTAACATTAACTTCATTTTTCTCCGGTTTCTTAAAATGTGGCTTAGCCTACTATTGCTCTGACCCTTTCAATTGGTTTTGGCTGTCCGGGTGACACCGTGTCAAATGTTCGAAACATTGGTTGTAAACCTGAGATTTTGCTCGTATGAGCCCATTGCCAATGTTTTTTTCAAAGTTGTTTTTGCTTTTAATAATAAAACATCTTGATTATTGACGTGTTTTCGAAGCGCGGATTGAGGTGAACTTAATTTTATATTTTAAATCATTTTTGGTAACGTTTAAAATTATCAATGACAAGATTTACATCTTGACTGACATCTTGCCACAGACACTGTACGAATTCGAGCAAAAATCTGAAATAGCAGGATGTGCTCTAATTTTAAAGAAAACATCGTGATTGAATGTCTGAATAATACGTGCTCGTTTCTAGCTCCAGTGTCGCATACTGTCAGCTGCGCGTGCGGCCGACGCCTTAGGAGAGCACGTATAGCATCGCTTTCCAATTATATCATTCGAAGGACCGTTATGTTTTCTTTTTTATTTCGGTTGTAGGAGAGGTTATTTGAGATGGACAAAGATTAAAAACAACAGTAGAACATCTGTTATTAAAGAATTTAGATTTAATTCAAATTTTGAACGGTTTCAACTGCCAAGAACTACTTGCAACATCCTTAATAAAGCGGTAAATTCATTGAGAAAAATGCATGTTTTCATTCAAATTCTTAACTTTTTTGTTTTATGTATTTTTTATGAGATGCCTTCAAAAATGCGTGACTGACGTACAGAAATGTTTATGCGGGCCCGGGGACCACATAATGTAAAGCTCTTATATCGATAGCGAGTTGCGAGGCCCGGTTTCTGCTTCATCACGGAGCCTGAGTGGCAGCATGTGTCATGGAACTCGCAGAGCTGGGAACAAAATGAATGGAAAACGCTGTCCGCGCCGTGTGTCGCAGAAACGTGTGGTTGGAATGTGGCTGGCAGCGTGTCCAAATGTGCTCCTGCCGAAAAAAAGCCGTTTACACGATCTCAGCTAGCTGGCGAACAATTGCTCTGAGCAGTCGCTGACCTTTCGACTGTTTTCGAAGAAAAGGTATTGTGGAAACCTGTGAGGTCTAGCAAGTTGTCCATGGCGACAATGCGCAGTACACAACAAAAAACAAAATGGCGTCTCTTGTGAAGTCTAAATACGCTAAAAATGTAGAAACAAAGTTAGATTTCCTTTGCTTTGTGATTTCTCTTTATATTAAAATAAATCAATGTAAAAATTATATATATATATATATATTATTATATATATACCCTTTTAACACGAACTCCAAGGGGCTAAAATAATCGGTTTAAGTATAATAAGTTATAATAAGTTCGTGTTAACAAGGGTTTACCATAAATCACTAGATTTATTGCTTAAAATATTTCCTTATCATTTTGAAAATATATACAAAAAAACATAAAAATACGAATTAAGATATGAATTTGATTGAAATTGGGTTAAATATAAGAGAAATTGAATAAATAAAAATTATAATTACTAATTGAAAATAGTACAAAATATGTTAACTACCACTCACGTACATGAGTACGCGAGCGGGATCGTACCTAGTCTACAGCGTCTGAGCGGAGAACGAAATTTTGCGGTTTTATATTCTCATTTGTATTTATATGCTTTTTAATTTATATACTTTCAGATTAGCTATGAAATAACTGCTGTAAGGTTATGCAAGGCAGATTCTTTTCTGCGCGGAGGCAGTTTACTGTGCTCGGTGACATCACTCGCGATCTGATGACTGTCTTATTCTGATACGCGGGGGGGAGGGGGCTGACAGTTTAAAAACGATCGATTAAACTCTGGTGGCGCATCCCTCCCATGCAATTGTGTATTGTGCCATTGTGTGCTTCACATTATCGTTGACGTTTAAACATGTCGCCAAATCTCTCCTCTGATCCTCAAAATCTGCAAAAATGGGCGTCAACAGTATGTAATATAACAATTCAGGTAGAGGAGAAGAAGGCTAAATCTAAATAGTTTAAGTTTTTCTACTACGTTCCTATTTCTTTGTGCTTTACATTTGAGAATTTATTCAGAACTTCGTCTGTTGTATCTCAACTGCTACCAGTAACAGCAACAATCAAGCGAGATGAACATTAACTACTAAAGCTCCTGCATGGCTGTACTACACTGTATTTGAATAACGAATGTAAGATAGAGTAGTACAATGATACTTGAGTTGACTTTGAGAGTCGATAAAATAATGTTTCTGAAAGACGTTTTCCACTTTGATTTTGTTATTTCAGGTCGCATCAACCTCTAGGTCATTAGCGACCACTATTGCGTGTAATGGTATGGTAACAGTGGGGATGACACGATATGAAGATGATAGGGGGTGAAAGGACGAACACAATACAACCATGCTCGAGGCGGGACTCGAACCCGCGGTCCTTCGGTCTGAGATCGCTACGACACTACTTCCTTAGCGATCTAGGCCCCTGAATCAGCGCGTTGATGGTTGTTTTCCCGGTTTCTGCTTTATCCACAGAGGTGATCACAGTGCTTCGCTGCGCTTCGTAGATTGAGGCCGGTGTACGCCACTGCCTAGTCGTCGACTCCCCGCCGCGCCGCGCGCCGTGCCGCGCGTGGTCCCGCGCGGTGAGGCAGTCGCCGGCGCAAGGTCGCGATTTGGCGGGTCCCTGACCCTCACGCGTCTTGCCTTCGCGCCACGCGCGCCAGCCGGTTTCACCAACCCCCCCTTCTCCTTTGCTGGCCATCTCTCTCTCGCTCTCGTTCTTTCTCTCGCTCTCGTTCTTTCTCTGGCTCTCGCGCTCTCTCGCGCTCGCTCGCTCGCTCTCTCTCGCTCGCTCTCTCTCTTGCACTCTCTCTCTCGCTCTCTATCGTTATTTCTCTCCTTCGTTCTAACTCTCTCCCTCTCGTTCATTCTGTTTCTCTTCCTCTCTCATTCATTCTCATTCTCTTTTTCTCTCTATCTCGTTTTCCTTTTCCTTCTTCTCTCGAGCTTGTTCTCTTTCTCTTTCTTCCTTGTTCATTATTCTTTTTCTCTCTCTCCCTCGTTATTTCTTTGTCTCCGTCTCTCTCGTTCTTTCTTTGTCTCTCTCTCGTTCATTCTCTTCGTTATCTCTTAGTCATTTTTTCTCGACCCCCTTTCTCTCTCTCATTCTTTCTGTCTCGCCCTCTTTATCTCCTTCATGCCTCGCTCTCGCAACACTTCGTTCACGTAGTCCGTAGTGGAAAACGTAGTGGAAAAACGTCTTTCTGTTGTTGCAACTCCTCTGTGATTTCGAAAACTATCTTCCGCTCGTGGACCATTCTCGTCTTCTTCGCCTTGAGACTCTCTCATTCAACAATCGTCGCAATTATTCACGTGCTCAATCGCTCTCTTCATTTCTTTTTCATATCTGTTTACGCGCTACAATTTATATTTTCTTGGCAACTCCCGTTGTTTCCGTTTGTGATGTCTTCCAAATAGTTTCTCTACATTTCTTCACGTTCTTCTCACCGTAAATATCCATATTTTTATCATTTCCAATGCGACTGTTCTCCCAGCTCCTTGACCTTGCTTTTTTTCCCGAATTCTCTCCTCATTGTCATAATTATAACGAACTTCGTAATGTCGCAGCTTATTTATAATTGTTCGTATGATTTGCTTTCTGCGGTGCTATCTAGAAAGAAAGAAGTCTCAATTGGACTCCACGTGCTCTTTTTTACTTTCTCTTATTCGACGCCGTTTGTTACTCTTTAATAACAGTTTGTGCGTATTACTGACAAGTAAGAGAAATCCCCTCGTGCTAGGATAGCAGCACCGGCGACAATTGGTTGCTGTAAAATCATGTTTCTTAGCTAATGCAGCAATGCTATCTGGTGCGTAAAATGTTATATGATGAGAATTCTAAGTATAATTTTAATTCTGATAACCTAATAACAAAATTTCCCCCCTTCATCTATCGGCTTCTCTCGACTTCGTCATTCAATCAATCTTTAAAATTTACACAACAGACATTTCGTTGAACATATTTGGCGGAAGACGCAAAAACGAAATTTAATTGAAATTTTAAGATATGTCTCAACTTTCCGAGCCATTTTCAACTATATTGATTCTTATGGCTTGGACGTTTTATGCTTTAATTCAAATATAGACCTTTAAATTGATGGCATGTTCTTTTTTCTAACTGAGTAATTTTTGAGTAATAAAACTAAGTGGAGGAA